GACTATTCATATTTGACCTGATTGTTTATAATGCGTGATCAAAACCAAAAGTTTCTGTGATGACTGCCCTTGCACTGTTCACCATGTAAGAACTTTTTCACTATGTAAGAATTTGTTCACCATCTAAGAACTTGTTCGTTATGCTTCAGAAGATTGGAAACCGTTGAGAATTAGGATTGGGGTGGATTAATGATTGTGCATTGAGTCCCCTATACAGAATTTTATTGTTGTTAACAACCATTTGATCAATAAATATGAGAGATGCCCTCTCAAAAAAAATTTGTATTTACTGTTATTATCACTGTATACACAAAAAGCTGCCTCTGCAATCAAAATTGTGCATTAATACGTGAAAGACAGGTGTTGGGTGAAATATAACAGCTGAACTTCCATGTAGCTGATAATGCCAGGGTATGGATGCCTCATTTTCAGTAAAAGTAGCACTGTATTTTTAAATCTGATTTTAAAATAACAGGCAGGGGAAGACTGTTCACTTCAGAAAGGATTCTTCGTAGGATTTTGTAATACAACTCCTCCCTGCCAGCTCCTTCAACATAGCAAGTTCTGGAGGTCTGCTCAATTTTCCCCGACTTCTTTCTCCGTCCCTCTCACTCTCCCTTCCATCACATATGCCACTCTCTATGCTCACCAGTTCCTGACACTCCATTACCTCGTGTACCTTGACACTAATATCCACAGATGCATGTAGTCTGCGACCAGTTTGAGGGCGGGGTTTCCTCTGCCACATTCCTCTGAGTGAGTCCCGCCTTCCTTAAGACTACACTCAGTTCACACTGTCTTTACCATCTTTAGATCATTGAATTGGGTTTATTTATTTTAAATTTCCCCCCAGCTTTGTTGAGGTATAACAAACAAATAAACTCGTATATGTTTGAGGTGTACATGATGATTTGATATATGTATACATTATGAAATGATTACCACCATCGAGGTAATTAATACATCCATCACCTCAGTTACCATTGTGTGTGTGTGTGTGTGTGGTGAGACCACATAAGAACTACTCTGAAGTTTTCAAGTATACAACAGAGTATTATTACTATAGTCACCATGCTGTACATTACATCCCCAGAATTTTTTTATTGTATATTGCAAGTTTGTACCCTTTGATCTCCCTATTTCCCCCAGCGCCTGGCAACTACCATTCTACGCTGTTTCTTTGAGTACAGTCTTTTTAGATTCCACGTATAAGTGATGTAAAGCAGCATTTGTCTTTCTTTCTCTAACATTCTTCACTTAACATAATGCCTCCAGGTTGTTACAAATGGCAAGATTTCCTTTTTTATGGCTGAATAATATTCCTGTGTGTGTGTGTGTGTGTGTGTGTTGCATGTGTGTGATTGTATTCATTATCCTTGTATTCATTATTCTTTCATCCTTTTACACTGTGGCCATAGCTTGGCTACTGTGAATAATGCTGTAATGAATATGGGAGTGCAAATATTTCTTCCAGATACTGATTTTGTTTCCTTCAGACATATAATTAGAAGTGGGGTTGCTAGATCATATAGTAGTTGTAATTTTAATTTCTGAGTAACCTCCATACTGTTTTCCACAGTGGTTGTACCATGTTACCCACCAACAATGCACAAGAGTTCCCTTTTCTCTACATCCTCACCAACACTTGTTATCTTTTGTCTTTTGATAATAGCCCTCCTAACAGGTGTGCAGTGAGCTCTCATTGTGGTTTTTATTTTGCATTTCCCTAATGATTAGTGATGTTGAACATGTTTTCATGTACCTGTGGGCCATTTGTACGTCCTCTTTGGGAAAATGTCTGTATCAGGTCTTTTGCCCATTTTTTTAAGCAGCTTGGTTTGTTTGTTTGTTTTTTTTGACTATTGTATAAATTCCTTATATATTTTGGATAACACCTTATCATATATATGTTTTGCAAATACTTTCTTCCATTCCTTAGGTTACCTTTTCATTTTGTTGGTTGTCTCCTTGCTGTGCAGAAGTTTTTTAGTTTGATGTCATCCCACTTGTTTATTTTTGCTTTTTTTGCCTGTGCTTTTGGTGTCATATTTTTTAAAAAATCATTTTCAAGACCAAGGAGCTTTTCCCTACATTTTCTTCCAGGAGTCTCATGGTTTCAGGTAGCACATTTAAGTACTCAATCCATTTCAAGTTAATTTTTGTGAGTGGTTTAAGGTATCTCAGGTATACTGTTTTTCTAGTTTCATTCTTTTGCATGTGGATATCCAGTTTCCCCAATATTGTCTATTGAAGAGACTATCCTTTCCCTGTTGTGTATTCTTGATGCCCTTGTCAAAGGTTAATTGAGTATATATGGGTGGTTTTATTTCTGGGCTCTCTATTTTGTTGCATTGGTGTATGTGTCTGTTTTTATGCTAGACCTATACCATTTTGGTTATTGTAGCTTTGTAATACAGTTTGAAATCAGGAAGTATGATGCCTCCAACTCTGTTTTTCTTTTTCAAGATTGCTTTGACTATTTGGGGTCTTTTGTGGTTCCAGATCTATTTTAGGATTGTTTTTTCCATATCAGTAAAAAATGCAATTGAAATTTGGTAGGGATTGTATTGAATCTTACAGTTTTCAGTATATAGATCTTTTACTTCCTTCATTGAAGTTATTCCTAAGTACTCTGTTGTTCTTGATGCTAATGTGACATTTTTTCTTAATTTCTTTTTCAGATAGTTCATTGTTAGTGTAAGGAAACTCAACTGATTTTGTGTGTTGTTTTTGTGTCCTGCACTTTATGAAATTTGTTTATTAGTTCAGATAGTTTCTTGGTGGAGTTGTTGGGGTTTTTTACATATAAGATCCTATCATCTGCAAACAGGGACAATTTTACGCTTTCTTTGCAATTTGGATACCTTTTATTTCTTTTTCTTGCCTAATTACTCTGGCTGGGACTTCCAGTACTATGTTGAACAGGCATAGAGAGAGTGGGCACTTTTGTCTTTTCCTGATCTTAGAGGAAAAGCTTTTAGCTTTTCACCATTGAGTATGTGATGTTAGCTGTGGGTCACCTAGTTAGTTTATTTATGTTCATGCCTTCTTACTTCTGCTGGTCAGGGACCATCTCTCTCTTACCATTGTATTCCCCCCACACACCTAGCACAGTTCTTTATCCACAGAGCAGGCTCACTAAATGATGTTCAGATTTATTTGTTGAATCTAGTACATTTAAAATATGAGCAATTGTATAGAATTTTTCTACACATCATCTCAGGCATACTATCATGAAATTCACTATGAAAAGTGATTATCTGCTGAATGTTTTGAAAATCTCCTTTGGAAAATGTACCTTTTTCACTATTAAAATAGAGAATAAATTATGTAATGTTGTATGGCCATAAAATAGAAGATTATTTATGAATGACTGATGATAAAATAATGTGAGTTTAAGACCTGCATTAATCTATTATTGTTGTCCTTGTCCATTCTGTACAGTCACTTAAACTTTCACCAGGGCAATACGACCTACTCCCTGCTCCAGTTCCCAAGTACACTTCCAGGTAATCATATTATTCAATTTCTTTTAGTAATTTACTCATGCCTTTCTATTTATATACTTAACCAATACTGATGACTTTTAAACCTCATTTATGCCCATCATATCCCGATTAGCATTTAAAATATTTAATGAGAGGGGGGGAGTAAGTTAAAGATCCTCACATTAAAAAATAGATGCACAAAATCATATGTTTTTTTTCAAATATAGGAGCTTCATATTTCGTTCTACAGTTCAAAGATTTCCAACAGGCTACTTCATTCCTGTAAGTATATTGTAGACAATTAACTCCTGATGAACTTAATGTTTAAAATATGCAATGATTCCTTTTGACATCAAGACGAACATTTTGCTCATGATTAAGTAGATAAGCAATGAGTGATTAATGTAACTTATTTAAGATGGGCTTAAAATGTATCTGAAGATACACTAGGGATTTCAATGTAAGTAACCCATTTGTGTCAAGTTATAGAAGAAAAATAAAGCTTCTTTTCCTTTTTAAAGGTCTTGACTCATATCCTCTTTTCAGGGAGGTCATCCCTAGTCACCTGTTCAGAATTTCCTGTCTCCCCTACCTCGACTTATTTTTCTCTGTAGTGCTCATCACTGTCTGACACACTAAATTTAAAATTTTACTGATCCTGTTTTTGTCTGTCTCCTCCACTAGAATGTAAGCTTCATGAAGGCAGGGATTTTTGTCTGTTTTTGGCCTCTATAATTATCACCTAGAAAAATGGCTGACACACACTATTTATTGAATGAATGAATGAATTAAATCAGCAGAGATAGTCAATAATAGATCATTGTATTAACAACAAAATGGAAAAGTATCTCTAGTTTCTTTCCTTTTAAAAATGTGAAAATGCTTTCCTGTTTGTGAAAGTTTCCGAGTACAAGTGAAAATGAACTCTTGTAAATAAGTAACTATCAGTGGATGCCAAAAGATAAATAATTATGTAAATATTTGAATGATTGGAAAACTATGAAATTATTTTGGGGTGGTTTGATGGACTATAGCTATTTATTTGTAACTAGAAACTCAGGGGGAAGAAAAAGATGCACATCAAACATCATCTGAGAGAGGAACTGAGGTAACAAAACAGAGCTCAGAGACAAACCTTGGTATATATAAAATTTCTATATTTGATGAAGGTGGTGTGACAAATTATAGGGAAAGGAAGAGACCTTATGTGCTAGACAATTGATTAAGTAATTTGAAAAAATTAAATTAGGTTCTCCATAGTACATATTAAAATAAATTCCATATTGACTAAAGAATTAAATACTTATGAAAAGATAAAACCAGGAGAAAATATATTAGCTCATATCTAATTGTAGGATAAAGCAGATTTTCTGAGCTAATAGCAATGGATGAATTGCAAAAGAAAGGAGAGATATTAGATTTGATATATAACATTAAACATTTTTAGTATGTCAGAAAGCAAACTATAAACGGTGTTAATAGGCAAATGCAAATTAGGAAAAACAGTTTCAACATACATGGCACATAAAATGGTCATTCAAGATGTATCCACATTCTAACCTTCAGAACCTGTGAGCATTACTTTATGGCAGAACCTTTCCAGATGTGATGAAGTTAAGGCTCTTGAGATTGGGAGATTATCCTGGACTAACAGGGCAGGCCCTAGATATAATCAGAAATGTGCTTATAAGAGGGCAATTCGAGATGGGAGGCGAGGTCATGTGACCATGGTGAGGAGACTGGAGTGATGTGGCCGCTAGCAAGGGCTGGAAGGATTAAAGAACAGATTCTTCCCTAGTGTCTGCAGAGAGCGAACGGCCCTGCCAACATCTTGTTTTTAGCCCAGTGAAACTGATTTCAGACTTCTGGCCTCCAAAACTATGAGCGAATGAAAGTCTGTTGTTTTAAGCCACCAAATTTATGGTAATTTGTTAGGAAAGTACCTAACATTAGGAAATGAACATAGGTGGAGATTATCTCCACGTGGATTCCACAGTGGGTTGATGGGATGAGGACCTGGCTTTTCCTTTGTGTAGCCCATATATGTTTATCTGTGTAGGTCTTTTCTCTCAGACATGTCGGTCACTTCAAAATAACCCCTCAGCCTCTGGTCTGGGGGTATAAGCCAGTGTTCTGGGAGCTGACTTGGAGAGGGGCCGGGAGACTCCCCACTTGGGGTGTGAAAGTTCACTTAATTTCTGTTTATAGTAAAGGCCCCTGTCCTCCCAGTTCCTGGGACTCCTGAGTCCAGATCTCAGGCACAGTCTCCCCAGAAACAGAAGCCCTATCTCCTAGAGGGAGGTGGGTAGGGTGGCTACCTGACTGGTGCCGGTGAGGTGGGTAGGCACCTGGCAAGAAGACAGTCAGCCTGCTCTCCTGCTTCCAGCCCCAAACTTACCCCCGCCTCACAGTGCCTGGTGCCTGAAATTTCTGATGTTGCCTGGCTTCTGTGGAGCAGCTCAGCCTGCTCCTCTGTGGCAGGTCCTCTCTGGGCACTTCAGCATCAGCTTTCTTTACCCTGCCATGTCGGGTACCTTTCCTCCAAACTGCATCGCATCTTCCAAAAGATGTTGGCTGTTGTGCCTTCTCTTGGCCCTCTGCGTGTGTGTACATACACAGGTGTGTGTGTGGTGAGTGGGGGAGATAGTTATGCCTTTTTTATTTGATGGGGATGGAGGTAAATGTGTACAAGTGGCTTTGGCAGCAAGCAATCATGACACCAGTTTTTCCCCCTCTCGGTTATATTTACTTTGAAATATATGTTTCAAACAAATACAGTGAGTTAATAGCAATTTGTTTTCTAATAGTAAGGAGACTCCATTAAAAATAATTTGCTCTTAGTTCAGTTAGGTGTCCTGCAGGTCATGCAGCCTGGTATGGGAAATAGCACAGGGCAGTTGATTCTGACAACCTTTGCCTTTGTTCTATTGCTTTTATGGAGGAGAAGATTTTTGGAGATCCTTATTCTGCCCTTTTCATTGGTGTCACCTCATCCATTCCATTTTATAAATAAAAGTAATTCACTGATTTAGAACATCCTGTCCTTCAACAAAGTGAAAAGAATACATCCATGGAAAATGTTCCAAGGCAAAGAAATAGCCAAGGGCTGTGATGTCTGTCCGAAACATGCATTCCCAGAGTAGACAAAGGGTTTGGTTTAGATCCACACACTTGTGAACTGCAAAGAGCGAACTCCTTTGATTCCAACAGTGGGAGATGGTGGTGTGCAATGTGAGTTTGCAAAGCGGTGATGTCTGCTAGGAGAATGTTATCTCTAACCCCCTTGTGATAAATGCACTACTCTGTGGGCCGTTGTAATATGCCATTCAGCCTATGTGAGAAACTCACTTGATTGATAGTATCATTCAGTTTAATTGTTCTAGAAATTAACACCATAGTAACAGAACTGTTAAGAAACTTTATAGATCACCTATCTGATAGGGTTGGCTCTGAGGATGATGAGACCAGCATGCATTGACTGTTGTCTGATGTCAGGCCCAGTGCTTGGTGACTGTCATACCCTGTGTCATTTAATCCTCATAGCAGCTTGCTGTGGCAGTATTTATCATCTCTATTTGATAGGTCAGGAAATGGAAGTTAGTTGCCTGTCACACAGTTATTCAAAACTGGAGCCAGGACTTAGTCTCAGTCTATAGCGACCTCAAAACCTGAGCTCTAAGCTGTGCTGCCTAGTGAATGAGCATGATCAAGTTACTTGTTCATGTCATCGAATGTTTAGAGCTGATCTCAGGTCAAATGCAAGTGGCTGACGTTGTGTTGTTTCTGGTGTCATACCGCCCCACTGATGACTGAGGCTTGTTCTTGGGGCCAGGTGGGCCTGCTTGATCCCCTCTGCAGTAGGATGCATTCAGATACAGCAAGGTCCACTTGCTGGCCTGCTTGTTAGGCCCTGAACACCTAAGATCCTTATGATGGATGGATGCAGCTTAGGCTCTAGCTGTGAGCCTGGCTACACTAGATTTCCTCAACTGGCCCCTGAGACACCTTTAGCATATTAGAACGTCTAGTCTTTTCTCAAATCCTCTTTGTAATAATCTGGACTCAACTTAGTCTAGCTGACTTCAACAGAAGTTCATCTATTCTACAAATCTTTTTTGTGTGGCTGTGTGCATAGGCCCTGTGCCAGGTAGGCACTGCTGAGCATTCAAAGGCAAATGAGATGTTTGTCAGTGTTCCCCCTACCCTGTTAAACAGCAGGGACACTCTGAAGTCAGTAACACAACCAATGTGTACACATACGAGCACACACAAACTTCCACAGATTAAACCAGAGTCTAGGATTCACAATGTGTGTGTCTGACTTGGGTGGGACCAGATGGCTTAGCATGCACAACTTGGAATACAGCACCCCAAATTAGACACTGATGACTCATATTTCATATTGTCTGTTGATAGACACACATGTACCTTCTTCCTGTCACCAGCCTCCTCCAAACGCTCTGATACATTTACTTGTAAGCTTCGCAGCAACTGCTGACTCCAGGGGGAGGGAGGAGATAAAGACAAGAGTGAAGACAAGGCTTGTGAGGAGAGGGACACCAATACCTATGCCTTCAGAGCCCAGGTCTAAGCAAAGAAACCAAATAGCCAGCTGTCCTCTCTGCTTATGGATCCAGAGGCTTTCCACAGACCTTGTTATTTGAGGGGCCCAGACAGAGATTTGTATCTGCACCTTCTCCACTCACTACAGCAATGCCTGAAACTCCACAGTAGGGATTGTGTATGAGAGGCTAAGATCTGAGGCATAAGACATGCATCACACTTGATTTAAAGCCTCTGGATCAGGCCCTGGTCCCGTCCTCTGCCTGCCGCAGCTGATCAGGCCGGCCTGGGTGCTCCCCAGGTGCTGGGGACAGGCTCAACAGGAGGCAGGTCTGGGTGGGAGTCCCAGCTGTGCTGTTAAGTACTAGTTTACCCTTCCTTTGTCAAGCCCTGTGTATGAAAGGGGGAACACCTGTGTTTTGGGGTGTTGTGAGGTTTTAAGTGTGTCACATGTCTGTAGCTACACTGGCTGTTTATCTCTTGAGGGTATTTCTCCTTTTCCCATGTCTTCTTTTAAAGGCAAAAGCTTCTAGAAGAAGAAATGCATTGGTCCAATTCATACTAAAGTATTAGTGACTTACCAGATTTTCTTCCCTCCCCCACCATCCTCCAGGAATATAGCTGAGACAAGTATTAGGACATCTGGGATAAAGCAAAGGAGCTAAAAAGAGGGAGAAATGTGAGCAGGGGTCCCAGTTTTTAGGTATTTGTATTAACTG